CGTTGAGTCAGCCACAGTGAATGGATATGGTTATGCTACTTTTATCAATATTCCCGCCACTTCACGGCAGCAACACCCAAAATGGGCTTCACACCTTGTACTGATATCGGAAATCAAACCTGGGCCTGATGAGCAAATGCTTAAACCACTCACAATAAATTCAAAATTTGGAATTCAGAAGCAATCTGATACATTGATATATCAATCAAAGTTCTTAAATGGAATATAACAAGATGTTGGTACAGCATTATGTTTGCTCAGTCATTAAATACGCAGGCATCTTGTGGCCCCAGATGCATTCTTCCGGGCAGCAAAGGTATTTGGCAAGCATATATATCATTAAACACATGATAATGAACCTCAATGTACCCATATACTGATAATAACGCACACCCTTACCAACTACCCTAGTACAGAGTTGCACTACTGGTCATAATGGGCAGAATATCTGCTACATCCGTTGTCCATGTCCATGTTGCCATGTTGAAACACCCTTATTCAACAAATATTGACTTCATTTAATACTAATAAAATATTCATATATAATAACATATAAGTGTGAAATAAAGTTGTCACTGGTTCTATTTGTGTTGGACAATATTTACCATACATCATGGACTCATGGCGAGTGCTGTGTTCAACGTGAACCTATGCAGAGAGGGTAAGTTAGTTTGTAAAATTAGATACAAAAAGAGGAAATTCTGATTGAATGATAATCAGTTTGTTACAGTTTGAAGACTCAAATTTGATTGAAAAATCATTTCCCATTGGTAGAATGGTCCCGCTATAGCCAGTAGGCAAGACTATTTACAATGACAATTTAATGTCAACATGAGGCTGCATCTCCAGGACACAAGTCAGTAAGGTGTGAAATGCTTCATGACTTAATAGCTATTGTGGAGCAGCAGAGGCCTTAAAAATGGCTTAGTTTTTGAGATACCAAAACCAGCATAACCATATTGTCTCATGTGGTTAGAATTGATGTTCTATCATTACTGTTAATGAAAACCCATGATGACATTAAAATAAAAAGAGGCGTTTTAAGAAAATGCTACTTTCTAAACACTACCCCCAAGCAGGTTACGCTTTTACGTGGGTGTTCCGACACGAAACTGTTAGGATGTATTTGTCTCTACAGACTATTTAACAGTGCTAAGTGTTTTTCCCCATCAAGAGGGGTTATACATGGATACTTCCTGTGATTTTGGAACAGCAATAAGCATAATTGTATTTTCATGGTGATTTTTATACAGAAAAATGATAAAAATAGGAAATTTTTGTACATATTTCTATTTTCTAACAAACACCCTGCAGCATCACCTGCCCCTTCTGAGGCAACCGACGAACTGAGACATCCTAATCTCAGCCCCAGGGAAGATTATCTGGCCAAGTGCAGAGACACTACTCCTCACCATGTGATGGTCACCCTCATCATGTCTCGGGCATCGTTTAACGAGACAATAAGTACCTCAACATGCCCTGAGGTCAATGATGGGGGCCGACACAAGTGACTTCCCTGTCTGTGTGCAGGGGACGACAGAGTACGGAAGAAGTAACAGGGCTCATATCCGACAGATGATATACATGGAGGTGGGAAGTCAGTCAATGGGAAATAATGTCCATTAATAACAATATTCTCCAGTTAGTAGGAAGTACATGAAACAAAGCGACTATGTGAGGTCACACTTGTCCAGGCCTCCCCGTGATGGTGTTCACGTTTCTGGAGATTTGCTGGCATATAGAGAATGTCACCCGAGTGTCTTTTGATATCGAATAAATCAACACGATTTAAGTGGAAAAACTCTGAGGCTTGCCGAGGATTTTTTCAAATTTATCAACGAGTGTTGATATATTTTATATCAAAAGACACGAGGGTGAGATTTTATTTATCATCCAACATCATTCTTCAAACTTTTTCAGTTTGAAGACAGTAATAAGTTGTGTCTAAGTGTAAAAAGTACTGCTAACAGCTTCAGTAGCAGAGCCATTAGTGATGTCATGGTAACCAATGACGTTAAAATAACAGCTATGTTAATGTACATAATAATAATGACATGTAAGTTGTTGTTTGAGAAGGGAATATGTTACTTTTACGTTCTGATATTTTGACGATGATTAACTATCCCACAATGCCACTCACAAATCACTAACCACTGACAAATCACAAGCACGTGGGTTTCAAGCACCTGTTTTCACCTGTCGTCAAGGTGTCATAGGTCTAGACATTCACACTGATCTACTAACACCTGGTTATGCTCAGTTTCACAATAGTCTGTTTTGTTCATATTTTTACACACTTTTATGTGTAAAAAGACATAAAAACCTTTGATACGCTGTATTTGTGCCAAGGCCCAATTAGTACTAATTGAGTTGTTTGAATATTTATATATTTTGTATATTAACTGCATTTATTTAAAATCTGAGATCTAAAAAAGTTTTTTTTCATTTCCGTGAGTACTTTAGGTCGGAATTTCAAGGCTCAATCATAGGGCCACCAGTGGCTATGACAAGTTATGTCCCTTCTATGTCCCTCCAATAAACCAATCAGATTCCACCTCTTATATCACATGGATTTGCTTCAAACAAAATGAAGGCTCCCAGTCTAGATGATCTTATTGGTCTTACATCACGAAGTACATGAAATCACTTGAGCACCTTGATTAAAAACATGAAGAGATTTTGAAAACACCTGCCAACGCTCAGGTGAGGGAACACAAGTTCTGCAGATCCTGCAATCGGCCGAAATCGCCATGTTGTTGCAAACCATGCGTTGATTTCGTTACACAATTTTGATTGAAATATGCATAGACTCATTAGTCCAGCCAAACAATAACTCCATGATTCCAGCCTAGTTCGACAAGGTAGGAAACTGGACATTATTTCAGTTATATCACAGGGTGACCTGTGGGAAGAAAGCCCCAAATGATGCAGGTCTTAGATGTGCTTTACTTTGGTGAAACCTGAGCACATATTCATTCACCCAAGTAACAAACCCAGAACTGGACAGTTAATTCCCTTGCCTCAGGAAGATGGATAAGGAAGTTAAAATATCTTAACAGGCAAGAAGCATAACACATTCCCAGAACTAGATTACTTTCCTAAACAACACTTTAAGAATAAAAGTTATATAAAAAAGTTAAGGATGTGTTAAAAACAAGCATTTTGTCAATGACGGAGGTGCACCAATGAACAAGACAAAGTGGCTCAGCCAGAAATGTTCCGGAGCAGCCAGCAGGCTAGTCCTGCACCATGACTGCGGAATTTAAATTTTTTAGGTACTTTGTTTTTACTAAAAGCCAAGACAAGTCCAGATCAAACTAACTAAGTCTAGTTTGCTTGATTCTATATGAAAACAGCAGAAGAGGAAAGGTTCTTTCAAAGAAAAAAAATATAATTTTATTTGATTGACTAAGTGTTTGTGTACAAGCAGGCTTGTCCCTACTCTACATCCTGTGCTGTGGCTGTATGAGTGTTACCAGAAGGGCCACCATGCCAGCCGGCTGCCAACAGCCATGTCTTATCACAATGACTGTTTACCTGACCTGATAAGCCTTCACAATAAGCAAGACTGGAGTATACATCTCTCCACATGATATATGTGACCTTACATAAACGGTGGTCAACTCTCCATGAACTCAGGCCACCTGGCGAGTTCATCTACCTGAGTCGGTGTTAATTACTCCTCACCTGTGTCAGGTGCTTCAGTTGCATCTCTAACTAAACCTCGTTAGGTCCGAGAAGACATATATTGAGGTTTGAATTACATTAATGTTCCATCAGGTTAAGGTTGGGTGATCGGCCAAACATGTTTTTATGTACTTTTCAAACTGGAATTGCATCTGACATACAGGGTAATTGTGGACTTGTCCTGACCTGGTCCGAAGCTAACAATATCCGTAGAGCTTTGGGTGGCTAACAACATCCGTAATGCTGTGGGTGGCTAACAACATCCGTAATGCTGTGGGTGGCTAACAACATCCATAATGCTGTTGGTGGCTAACAACATCTGTAATGCTGTGGGTGGCTAACAACATCCATAATGCTGTGGGTGGTTAACAACATCCGTAATGCTGTGGGTGGCTAACAACATCCATAATGCTGTGGGTGGCTAACAACATCCATAATGCTGTGGGTGGCTAACAACATCCATAATGCTGTGGGTGGTTAACAACATCCGTAATGCTATAGGTGGCTAACAACATCCGTAATGCTGTGGGTGGCTAACAATATCCGTAGAGCTGTGGGTGGCTAACAACATCCGTAATGCTGTGGGTGGCTAACAACATCTGTAATGCTGTAGGTGGCTAACAACATCCATAATGCTGTGGGTGGCTAACAACATCCATAATGCTGTGGGTGGTTAACAACATCCGTAATGCTATAGGTGGCTAACAACATCCGTAATGCTGTGGGTGGCTAACAACATCCATAATGCTGTGGGTGGTTAACAACATCCGTAATGCTATAGGTGGCTAACAACATCCGTAATGCTGTGGGTGGCTAACAATATCCGTAGAGCTGTGGGTGGCTAACAACATCCGTAATGCTGTGGATGGCTAACAACATCTGTAATGCTGTAGGTGGCTAACAACATCCATAATGCTGTGGGTGGCTAACAACATCCATAATGCTGTGGGTGGTTAACAACATCCGTAATGCTATAGGTGGCGAATAACATCCGTAATGCTGTTGGTGGCTAACAACATCCACAATGCTGTGGGTGGCTAACAACATCTGTAATGCTGTGGGTGGCGAACAACATCTGTAATGCTATAGGTGGCGAATAACATCCATAATGCTGTTGGTGGCGAATAACATCCATAATGCTGTTGGTGGCTAACAACATCCGTAATGCTGTGGGTGGCTAACAACATCCGTAATGCTGTGGTTGGATAACAACATCTGTCATGCTGTGGGTCTATATGACAAGATCATGATATATGTTTAACATACCTGCAGGTCTAAAGGATAACAACAAAATTAATACATGTTCAACATACCTGCGGGTCAACAAGGAAGTTCCACAGAAGACTCTCGATGTAGTAGTTGGTGCCGCCCACAATGATGGGGAGTTTCCCCTCAGCTGCCACCTTCTCTATCTGACAGTGTTGAGGAACAGCATCCATGTTTTCATGTACACAAACTTGTCACTCTTACTTAAACATGTCAGTAGACATGTAAACATCATGATGGTGGCCACATCATATCGTAGAGAACAAAATAAAACACTTGCTAATCCATATCCCACCTCTTAACCTGTGTATGACACAAGAAGGCACTTACATTTTGAAGCAAATATGAAGGACCAGGAATACACATATGATTATAAAGTCTTCTGTCTCCAGCTACCTACCTAAGAAACTCCTGTGACTCTAGCTACCTAAATAAGAAACCCGTGTCTCGAGCTACCTACCTAAGAAACTCCTGTGATTCTAGCTACCTGAATAAGAAACTCCTGTGTCTCCAGCTACCTACCTAAGAAACTCCTGTGTCTCCAGCTACCTACCTAAGAAACTCCTGTGACTCAACCACCTGAATAAAAAAACTCCTGACTCTAGCTACCAAAATAAGAAACTCCTGTGTCTCAAGCCACCTAAATAAGAAAGTCCTGTGTCTCTAGCCACCTAAATAAGAAAGTCCTGTGTCTCAAGCCACCTAAATAAGAAAGTCCTGTGTCTCTAGCCACCTAAATAAGAAAGTTCTGTGTCTCTAGCTATCTAAATAAGAAAGTCCTGTGTCTCTAGCTACCTAAATAAGAAAGTCCTGTGGCTCTAGCTATCTAAATAAGAAACTCCTGTGTCTCTAGCCGCCTAAATAAGAAACTCCTGTGTCTCTAGCCACCTAAATAAGAAACTCCTGTGTCTCTAGCCGCCTAAATAAGAAAGTCCTGTGGCTCTAGCCACCTAAATAAGAAAGTCCCGTGTCTCTAGCTACCTAAATAAGAAAGTTTTACATACTGATGCCGCACCACACAACTAAAGTACTGTTAACCATTCCCCTTGCAAAGAGACTTTGGTATCCATTCACAATGTGCGCACATTTACATCAGACAATACTACCTTCCTTAACTCCAACAGTGTCTTAAACTATACCATAACTTATGCAATAATAGGTATGACTTTCAATAGTCAGCCCAAGAAGATACAACAAACTCATTTCATAAAATATTATATTGTAAAAATATGGAACTGAATAGATGTACATGTATCCTTATTAGGAATGGGACGAGTCCAAATGTACTACCCAGGTACCCACCCCCAAACAACTCGAACTTACATGAGTACCCACTGTAGTTCTCAAGAGATCGGTACAAAATGTCTGATTGGGAATTGGTTTGACCGTAGCCCTTGCAAAATGGATAAAATGATTTGCTTATGCTTATGAAGTTGACTGAAGTTTAATCTTTATTCAAAGATATACAATGTATATACTACTCAAAAGAAGTTAAGGATCACCCGATTCTTTCATATTGGTAATGTTAATCTGTCATGGCATGAGAGATTAACTATTGAAATATGAAAGAATCAGGTGATCCTTAACTTCTTTTGAGTAGTATATGTCAGAAAGTCTACAGGCATAGTCAAAAAGCAATGCTAACATTAGTGACTTGTTGTGTAACCATACAGATCTAGATCATTTTTGTCATTAAACAATGTATCACGTGACTAACCACGGGTTTGGGAAGTCCTGTGGGTACCCAGGTCCTACTCAGTACCCACCCGTTCCGAGTTACCCGTCCCAACCCTAATCCTTATAATATGTTATGTTAGCGTCAGCGACTTGGGCTCTGTGCCACTGTCTGCTCAAAGGGACTTACATTGACAGTTCTGTGTGTTTTTAAATCATGCATGAAATAATTAGTGTGACATCACAATTCAATTCTCAAACCAAAACAATAGAACTCCAGACAGAGAAGCCGACAACGCAAGCGCTGCTCAGAGTACACTGGCTTCAGTAATGTTTTTTATAAGAGGCAAATTGAAGAGAAAGGATGTGTGTTTTTCTTATGAATGAGTTACAAAATACCCATTGCCAGCTTGATTAGATTAAAAGCCAGTGTTTATCAAACAATAGATTACAATATAAATATGCCTTGGTCGTATGAAGCCTATCACTCTCCTACCCAGAGTTCCATGCGGCCAGCCGAGTACCTCTGTCACATCGTCACATCTTACAGAGTCCATTCATTTGTTTTTCATCCGTTTCATTTTGGACAAGTCTACACATTTAGATAAACATAACTTTCATTGAGAAAATATCCTAAAATGTGAAAATGTATTTCCATTTGCGTACTTATCGTTCACATGCTGTCTGCGAAGCCCTACGGAGAGCTAGCAATACTGTCACTTTGATGTGTAAAGCTATGTTGTTGCACCTCACTGTCGCAGTTGAAGTAGCATGTCTTTATAATTATGCAACACAATATGTAAAACGCACCGAAAGGTTTGAATTAGACCCGATATTTCTTATTCCAGACAAAGTGTGTTTGTTCACAAGCAAGAGAGAAGTTTGGTCACGTGATATAGAGCTTACACCCGCGGTTTGGTTAGCTGAAGCAGAAAATTATTTCGCGAAATAAGGCAAGCAGAGCAAGCAGGGGTTGTCGGCCATTGGCTACAAAAAAAGCTTCAGGATGGTTGACATCCTGTCCCTTAGAGTTGGAGTGAGTTAGTGAGTATGGTTTTACGCCGCTTTTAGCAATATTCCAGCAATATCACGGCCGGGGACACCAGAAATGAGCTTCACACATTGTACCCATGTCAGGAATCGAACCCGGGTCTTCGGCGTTACAAGCGAACGCTTTAACCACTAGGCTACCCGACCGCCCCCTTAGAGTTGGAAGTGACATGTATCATCTGAGATTTGTACTCATAATGTGTAGCTTTTGGGCACAAATGTGGGCTGACAAATGCGCCATCCAAGAGGCCTTGTGTTCGGGGATTCTTGTTGCATACAGGATACAACAGGAAGAGCTCTGTCTCTGAAGTTGACAACAGTGTTGGATGTGTTGGTGAAGGGGTTGACGTAGCCAATGAGGTGGTGCCGACACTGGTGTTGTTCAGCTGAAGTCACCTTGTTTGTGATGATGTTTAGACCTTCATATATCTGCAACAAATATGCACTCAGTGAAAACATGTACTTAGAGTGACAAGTTTATCCTGTGCAAAACAGAATGAGGACCTATCCTGTGGGTGGCCTCAATAACAGTATGAACATGTTTTATAAGATTCATGTACATGTGTATCTATAAGCAAGATCAGCGATGAAATATCACATAAATATACTTTTGAAAAATCATAACAGAGTGACAGTATATGAAAATTCAACTTTGTCAGTGACTCAATAGCCAAATATCCAACATGCTGTAATAGGCCCCCTGTTTTACTGCTCAACATAACATAAACACGTGTTGAGCTATTTATATACCTGGAAATCCCCATTTCTCACATCGACAGTAGTGAATGAAGATGGCAACTGGTCGGTCTCGTACCAATTCATGTCAACACTATTGGGTCAGTTACATCAATATCAAGAGAATTGATTAGGCCCCATCACAGCGTCATTCATATGCATAAAAAACCAAAGTTGTTCAGCAAACACGTGTTTTATTTCGATGTGATGCACACAATGTCGCTTCTGATATATAGTTATCCTAACCTGCATTGAATCAGCACTGATTATTTCTCCATTGAATTTCTGTCCCAGTTCGATGGCAAGCTTTGATTTACCGGTGCCTGTTGCTCCTAACACGACAACAACCGGCAGTCGTCTCACGGCCGCCATCATCTCCACTTTCAAGGGGCATAACTCTATTCACTCTATCCTTTGAACAGAATGTTCAGAGAAATTACGCTTTGTTGGGCAATATGACCTCATAAACAGTCACACATAGCAACGCCTTTCATTTGCGTCGTATAACATGGTACGAAGGAATGGCCTAGCTAATCAATTAACGTTAGTCATACAATGTTGTGTTTTATTAAATCATGACTATTCCATGACTGTCAGGCCTAATGTCAAAACGATTTGTGCGAGAAAAAATGGAATGAGCACAGGTCTCTGTGGCTATTTAAGGAAAAAAAAAAAATTTCTAACATGATCAAAAAACCACTTACTTGAATTCCTTGATGAAAAGGATGCATCTATTTCTTTGTGGGGTTTCATAAATAAGATACAAGATACAGGATTTTATTGCGCAAATGTTCCATGTAGATACAAAGACAATATTGTACAAACTATATAAACAGTTACTTAATAAGTCAGGATAATACAAATTACCAATACAAAATATTATGTTATGACCTAGGATCATCTATAATAAGTCCGGACTAGTACAAACAAGCCACGTACACATACACGTCGCTATATAAGTGCAATAATCTTTGACGCGACGTTTTCCCCAGATTTTTTTGGAGTTGTATACATATATAAGAAATTATATTAAAACATGGCTATACCTGTTTACGTGTTTATTGCTCAATTAGATCACGTGTAAATATCAATGTTCAGAATATGATTCTCCAGTATGTTGTGAGCGTGGGATAAAACAGGTTGAGTTAAGTTAGAATCATAAAAAGTAAGCTTCGTGTACAAGGTCCATCACAAGGCCTAAACTTATTAGGTATGTCGGTTATCTGTTATGAATGCGCAGAAAGAAACATTGCGTCTAGTTGTGAAACAGATTACACCACTTGGAGTCAATATATGTGTGAGAAACTCGGTTTGATTGATCACAACGAGCTGGAATGTAGCCAAGCTATGTTTGATTGTATAGGAACGTTTCTCCCTGCCATCACGTAAACAGTAAATAACAATCACAACAGTCGCGTGTATCGAAGAACCGCGGGTATCGCTATCACATCGCCAAGGTTTGCGATCACGTCGCCAAGACCTGAGACGTTGCGCCACAACATGGCAAGCTGTCCCGAATTACTTCGGTCCCAGATGTATATATACTACTACTACTACTACTACTACTACACACGGGCCATTGATCCACGCCAGGAACTCGCCTAACAACATCGAGTTTATTCCTGTATAGCTGTCGCTGTCACAACGAAACTCGTCATCGTACAAGAAAATTCAGATGAATTTTACAACTGTTAATAATATTTCATCCCTAAGAAATTTTAATAAACAAAATATATGCGCATGTGGGTGTTGCTCGCAAACGAATTCACTTCCGATCAAATATGGATATTTTGTTTGGTGTCAAATAGAATCTATCGCAAGAAGCGACTGTCCAGCATCCAAGCTGTGGTCGAGGCAAACTGCGCAGTTTCCGAGCAAGGTCACTATGATCATGCCAAGCAGACCATGACAGTTACAGGTCACGTGAGCACAGCCTTCCCGCCAGATTCGTGGTGTACTTTTAGCGGCAAAGAGTCGCTGGAGGCAATATTGTTTGTCACAGTTGGCATTTGAATATTGACTTATGTCGATTTTATGTACCGTGTTGAGCTATAGGGTGTGTGTGTCATTGTACCAACGCGAGGCGAGAAGTGTGCATGCACTACCTTGACTTTAGACTAACACTTAGTCAATGAAAACATGTCTTTAAAATAGTTTTTTCTCTCTTCGAAAGACCCTTTCCTCTTCTGTTTCGCAAGCAAACTGAACTTTGTTTTTGTTTTTTTTTATATAAATTCCATGGTCATGGTGTAGGACTACCTTGACGTCCATGTCACGAGCTACTTTCTTTGTTGTTTCACGCCGCACTCAGCAATATTCCAACTGTATGACGGCGGTCAGTAAATAATCGATGCTGGACCAGACAATCCAGTGACTGATATCATGAGCATTGATCTACGCAATTGGGACATGACATGCATCAACAAGGTCAGAGAGCCTGATCACCCGATCCCGTTGGTCGCCTCTTACAAGCATAGTCGCCTTACAATCACTAGAATTAACGCTCGACCTGTTCAAGTAGTAACGCGGTCTGAACCTGCTGATGGAGTAACGCGGTCTGAACCTGTTGATGGGGTAACGCGGTCTGTACCTGTTGATGGAGTAACGTAGACTGAACCTGTTGATGGGGTAACGCGGTCTGAACCTGTTGATGGGGTAACGCGGTCTGAACCTGTTGATGGAGCAACGCGGTCTGAACCTGTTGGTGGAGTAACGCGGCCTGAACCTGTTGGTGGAGTAACGTAGTCTGGACCTGTTGATGGGGTAACGTGGTCTGAACCTGTTGACGGGGTAACGCGTTCTGAACCTGTTGGAGTAACGCGGCCTGAACCTGTTGGTGGAGAAACGCGGTCTGAACCTGTTCGTTGAATAACGCGGCGTGTGTGTGTCAGTGTGTGTGTACTGATGCTGAAGATTGAAATAAACCCAAACCTGGTATTGTAGTGTCTATACCTGGGTATTCACATAGTGGTCTCAGCGCCAAGACGGGTCATAATTTTCATTCACTACCAAACTGATCGTCGTATGGCTTTGTGGAACAGAGACAAGACAGCAGGACAATATGGCACTTGCCGGGCCACCGTGAAGCATGTCATGAGGGCCAAGGAGGCGAACCCAGGAGGCGAACCCAGCTCTTGGGCGTTACGAAGTAACTTTTTAACCACTAGGGTTACAACCAGGGAGTATCGATGCCTGTAGTGCGGGGGAAACTCCAGACTAAGAGGTAGTCACGTTGTTCGACTTGCTCCATAGCGACATTCTTCAGAATGACGCGGGCTTTTAGTACTGCCAAGTCATTTTGTTCGTTTGTTATTTAACGCCGCACAATATTCCAGCTACATATATGACGGAGGTCTGTAATATAGTGATTAATATCATGAGCATCGATCCGCGCATTTGGGGCCGATGACATGCATCAACCAAGTCAGCGAGCATGACCACCCGATCCCGTTAGTCGCCTCTCACGACAAGCATGGGTTGCTGAAGACCTATTCTACCCCGGATCTTCACGGGTTTATCAACACGAAGAACGCGTGATGACGTAATTCAAACGACGTTGTAAGCAATGACGTTGTCCTAGCGTCTTGTCAAATCACGCAAGAGACGCAGTAGTCTCCAAGGTTGTATGGGACGCGTGAAGATCCGGGGTAGAATAGGTTTTCAGCAACCCATGCTTTAAGAGGCGACTAGCGGGATCGGCTGGTCAGGCTCGCCGACTTGGTATGCATTCCATCGTATCCCAATTGCGTGAATCGATGCACATGTCAATTACTCTGGACCAGACTCGATTTTAATTTATAGACCGCCGTCATAGAGCTTGAATATTGTTTAGTGCCGCGTTAAACAACAAACATGGTCGTATGGCACAGTGGACCAGTTCACGGTGTGTCGAGTTGTGGCCCTTAGCCAAGCCGAAGCGTGCTGTTCTGGTTTCGAATCCAAAATTAAACCCTCAGATCGCTGGATTTCAACCCACGTGGTAAACGTCTACGACCTGTGCAACTTGCCCCTCCTTTTCGCTGGCACGGTCACATAGCTATTGTCATGTGGATTTCAATAACAAAGACATTATGCGTCGCACTGTATGTTATCAAGCTCACGAAAGTCGTGTTTTGCACCCGCCAGTCATTCCCGGACATGCTGGAAACGCATGGTAGCCTGCTGGTATAGTGCAACCCAAGTAAGAAGAACAAAGCAGCAATTCGCATGTCAACGAGTCCCGCCCACAAGCGTCCGTTTTCTCTTTCCTTGTCCTCTACAGAAATGGGTATACAATATGTCTGCGAACTTCATTCGTACCAAACCCCAGAGTGGGGATGCGGCAGGTTACTTTGCTGGGTTACACAACTGGCAGTTAAACACAGGGCTAATAGATCTAATTACACAACGCTAATTCGCGTGTCAACGCGAACCGGATATACTCTACTCATCAAATCCCATTTCCTTGCGCCCAGGTGAAAGGGCAATTTCAAGGTAGTTTTAATTTGTAAGTTACGCAATCTTCTCTCCTTTCTTCATGAAAAGCTACTTCAGTCCGAGCCAATTATACAATAAGCCGCCAAACGAGGCTAATTAATGACGCGCCCCACTTATCTCTACACTGCTTGTCGGTCCATCGAACTTTGCGTTTGTACTGAACAACCACAATCGACCACTCTAACACTGGAGTCTCATGTTCGTTTGTAACGTCAAACACACTAAAATCTCAACAAGGTCGACAGACAATTTCTTCCCCTTTGAATCAAAACAGCTTATGATAATTAGAAAGTTGGTGCCTTATTAATTTACACGTACTTAAAACATACATTTACTCCTAGTTCGAACAAATCATATGAATGAATCACAGCAAACAGCTATCTTTCCACAACACAAACATGCAAGTAACAGGTTTATAACGGCCAGTGTCGGGAATATATTTAAATACGCTAAGTGCCTGTCCCAGCCGGACAGAACAAACGATGTCAGGTGGGCCGCACCTAAACACTTTATCACCTTTTCCAAGAAAGTCACGTGAGCCTGTCTCGTCCAGGTACGCCACAGTAATGGCGTAAAGCTAATCTGACCTAGTTTTCCGTCTGTGACCCAACGTGAGTACACATTGCTTTTTACATCAATGTGAATGGAATGCAACAGGCGGAAATTTCATTGGCTGGCGGGCGCAATTTCCCGCGTTTTATCCAGACAATGACATAAGTAAGGATACAACAAGGATCTGTGTTTGGAAAAAAAAGAATTTTAATTTATTTCTTTTAGTGAGTTGTTTTTAAAGGTTTTATACAAAAACAAGAATGCATGATACATGAGAAATGCCCTTTCCTCTCAAAGCAAAAGAACACACAATAGCCCGTGACCTTCAGACTGGCATAAAATAATGCTACTTATTGATACATATATACAA